TATATAAGGAACTCACACAACTTTACACCAAAAAGAAAAACAATATGATTGAAAATGGGTAGAGGACCTGAGTACACATTTCCCAAATAGGACATAAAGATGTGCAATAGACATATTAAATGATGTTTAAGTTTAACTCATTCATCATCAAGAAATGCAAGTGGACACCACCATGAAACACCAATCATCCATAAGTCAAAAAACAAGTATTACTAATGCAGGGGAGAAATGAGAACATTCTTGCACTGTCAGCAAGATTATAAACACTAGAGGCCCAATGCACAAAATTCATGCAAGAATTGGCTTTCCTTTCCCTGGCTGCCGGTACTGGCTTCCCTCTGGCACCTGGGACCTGGACTTTCCTCTCAGCCCTGGCTTTGTCTGGAAGGATTCCAGCCTAATTAGCATATTATGCTTTTACTATTATAGCTTGGTGCAGCCACTAACAAACACAGAGGGTTTTCCAACATTTACAAACAAGTACCAGGTAACACAGCGATTCTATTTCTGGGGATTTATACAGAGAACTCGAATTCACAAAGATATACCCACCCATATATCCATTGTAGCACTATTTGCAATAGTGAAGATATCGAACTGGAAAAAAGGACTATTTTCATAATGATGCTCTACCATTTAAAATAAATTAAAAGACTTCATTTGACTTGACATGTAAGGAGACAAAATTTATATCTCAGCTCATCTCCTTCAAGACATGACTCACTATGTGTTTATTCCAGAAAAGACACAATAGCTGGCTGCATATATAATTTCCATGTTATTGATTATAAAGCTACATTAATTTTATACACTTCAAATATTTGAAAGGCGAATATGTAACCAAATTTGTATTTCAATCCATTGCATTAAAATGGAAACTCCCTATGTACCAACTCAAATATTAAAGAAAAAACAACAATACGGCATTCTCAACAGAAAAAAAATAAACCAAGAAGCAACAGGCTGAGAAAATATATTTGTAAAAGTAAACATGGCCTGGCTGGTATGGCTCAGCAGTTGAGCGTCGACCTATGAAACAGGAGGTCACGGTTCGATTCCTGGGCAGGGCATATGTCAGGTGATCAATGATTCTCTCTGAGCATTGATGTTTCTATGTCTCTCTCCCTCTCCCTTTATCCATGAAATCAATAAAAAATATCTATCTCTATATATAAAAGGCTAGGATAAAAAGCATCCCCTCAGGAATTCTACCGGGAGACCGGGAGTTCCATCACTCACTATGACATGCGCTGACCACCATGAAGCGAAGCGGAATGAAGGAAAGCCCCGCTGGAAGCTGGCATCTGGGGAAGGAAGCCCCCAGCGAGCAGCCAGGGAAGGAACACCCCAGCCGGCAGCTGGCAGCCAGGAAAGAAAGGCCCCAGCCTGTAGCCGGAAGGCCCGATCAGCCCTGATTGCCAGCCAGGCCTTGGGGCCCTACCCATACATGAATTTCGTCCACCGGGCCTCTATTATATATGTAAAAGGCTAAGTGACAAACCGTACATCCGTCTGACCATCCAGTACATAAGATGTACATTGGCAATTGTAAAATAGATGTTCACTCGTGCATGCGAGATATTTGTCCCCATCTGACACTGGCCTCCCATTTAAATTAATTCGAAGACAGTTTCCCATGATGCCAGCATTTGTGATGACTATTAATAAATCACAAGGACAAACTCTAGACGAAGTAGGAATATTCCTACCTGAATTCGTTTCCGGACATGGTCAGTTATATGTTGCTTTCTGTGGAGTTCAAAGAGCATGTGATGTTAAAGTTAAAGTTGTAAATACTTCATCACAAAGATAATTAGTCAATCACTCTCAAAGTGTTTTTATTCTTAAATGAGTGTTTTTACTCTTAAATGACTGCCATCCTGTTAGGTGTTTGGTGGTAATTCACTCTTTAATGTGGTATACAGGGAGATATTAGAATGAGGTTAATCACTTTTTCATTCAATGTTTGTATCAATGTTATTTTAATATCATGTTTTTATTGCTTTTACATCATGTTTTGTTGTTTTTATATTAGGTCTTTGTGGTTCTTATATCATGTTGTTACTGTTTATTAATCAATTTATGTATTATTTTCACATACATTTTACTCATTTTTTCATCTCAGACATTTCTATTATAGAGAAAGGGCGATATTAAAATATCCCTCCTAATTGATTTCCTTTCAATGTGCATGAATCTGTGCACATTCTGTACCAGGCCATTAGTACATTAATAAAAAAAGTCAACACGTACAGGATAATTATGCAAAACAGACAAAGAAACCTTTCAATCTTTCAACTCAACATTGACAAAAGAACCAACATGTGTCAAAAGGGCCAAACACCTTTAAGGCACAGCACTACCAAATACATACACATAGAAAATCAGTGTAACAAGATCCTGCACATCTTACGTCACTAAGGAAATGCACATTACAACAATGAGAACAAACAAACAGCACAGGCAAGCAACACTAAACCACCATTGTACAGGTCAGAATCCAGAACACTGACCCCACCAACTGCCTTGGTGATGTGGAGCAACTGGAACTCCAATCACTGCTGCTGAAAATGGCAAATGCTACAGCCCCTTGGGGAGATGGTCTGGAGGTTTTTATAAAACTAAATATACACTCGCCATGGGATCCAGTAATTCCGCTCCTTACTATTGAAACAAAGAGTTAACCTTTTTATCTACTCAAAAGCCTACAAGGGGTTGCTTATTCATAATATACAAAAACTGGAGGTAATGAAGAGGTCTCTCAACGCATGAATGGATAAATACACTGAAGGACATACAATGAAGTCTTATTCACTTGTATAAAGATATAATACAACAAGCCATGAAAAGACATGATAGAAACCTAGATACACAGAACTAAGTGAAAGAATCCAATCTGCCTGCCCAGGTAGCCCAGTTGCTTAGATGATAGTACCGATATGCCAACGTTGTAGGTTTGATCTCTGGTCAGGGCACATACGAAAAAATCAATTAATGCCCAGCTGAAGTTTCTATCTCTCTCTAACTCTCCCTTCCTCCCTGAAATAAACATGATCTTCCCCTAACCGGTTTGGCTCAACGGATAGAGCATTGGACTGCGGACTCAAGGGTCCCAGGTTCGATTCTGGTCAAGAGTATGTATCTTGGTTTAGGCACATACTCATTAGGGGGTGTGCAGGAGGCAGCTGATCGATGTTTCTCTCTCATCAATGTTTCTAACTCTCTATCCCGCTCCCTTCCTCTCTGTAAAAAAATCAATAAAATAGCCAAACTGGTTTGGCTCAGTGGACAGAGCGTCGGCCTGCGGACTGAAAGGTCCCAGGTTCGATTCAGGTCAAGGGCATGTACCTTG